AAGTTTATTTGACTTAAAAATAGAAAATAATTAGGAATTTTATTAAAATATTCATAGTAATTTTCTCATAATAATTTAGAAAAATAATGATTAATAGTTTTCGAATTTTACTGAAAGACATTCGGTAATCGAAATTAGTCGATCATCAATCGATCAATTTTCTATGGATGAAAATAGTTGGATCGTTTGCTTTATTATACAAGAAATATATTATTTAAATAGAAAACATAATAATAAAAAAGCAGCATTTAAAGATTTTTTTTTCCTTTCTTAATTTTCTTCGAAATTTAAAAATTATACGAGTTGCCGATAACAAAGTTTTAAAACTGCGAAAAAAAAAGGAAACAGAAGATATTCCGAGCTATTTAATAACTCTTATCTCAATAAAACATGTTTAGGATGTTTGACTTTTTCTTAGGCCAGAACTTATAACGCTGTTCTTAATCTTTAGCGAGCTCGGGATTTAAAGATATTTCCTTCCACGTGACTAAAATTGCTTAAGGACATTCTAAAGTTTTGCCGTCATTAAAAAGCGAGAGAAGTGGAAAAAAAACAAGAAATGGCTGGCAGATGCAATTAAATTTCTCTTCTCGGTTCCTTTTAATGTTTCTAATATGCGAGCCGCCATTTTGACGGGATTTAGAAATGGATAACCTTCGCATTTATTTGGCGCTCCGTTCTTGGCCTATTAAGCCTAAGCTTACACAAATGGTTCCGTTAAATCCACCAATTAATTTTCTCGGCTCTCTTCTTTAGAAAGAATAAAAACCCTTTTCGAATATTCGAACAACACTAAAACATTGTGTTGGCCAGCACGTTGCATCCCTGTACAAAGTTAATGCTTTTTCCTTATCTTTCTAACCGAACTCTTGCCAGTTCTTAGTTTAATGGCCGATTTGTATCGTTTGATTTTTTTTATTCGATATGAGTAAAGCCTGACCCGCCGAAAATCCGATGGAAAAAGTTAAAAGAATCGAACTTTATCGACGACCGAACGAAAACCACAACAAGGAAAAACGATAACCGAAATCACGTGATTCTTTTCATTATCGAATGCTATGTTCATTACCCCATAAAGATAGAAATGAGAAAGAATTGATCGAAAAATTGATTTCTGGAGAATGGCTGTGTTACTGGTTAGTCGAACGCTAAACTTCCCCCATGAATAATTAGTCACTCGCTTTCTTTTCACTTCTGCCTCGGACATCCATCGAACTTCTCCTTTTGTCGATTTCTAATCTGTCGTTAAATATAATACGACAAGTTACACGGTAGAGGAACACGTAATGCAAATGAAAATGTCAAATTTGAAATCTTTCTACAAATCTAAAAATAAATAAAGATTTTCTTTTAATTATTTATGGAGACATCTGAAAACAAATCATGCATTCGCGTGATAACAATTCCATTCTGAGTTTACATTAACACACACAACACATACAGTATAAAGATGATTGAAAAGTATGTTAATATAATAGAGTTGTTGTGCTGGAGAACTTACGAAGTTTGTTACATTCAAAAAAACTATTTATAGATTTAAAACGTAACAAACTCCGAATGTAATATCAAAGACCGAAAGTCGCGGTGACTTGTTCGATTAGAGGTAACAAGTAGATACGCGTCGAGAGAGAAAGAAACAAACAAACACACGGCAACTCCCGGTCGACACGAGAGAGGTGGACCTCTACGTTTAGAATTTGCAGACGTCCACGCTGAGGATTTCCAGTTCGGTTAAATGATAAATGACCGATAAGACACGAAAACTCTAACGCTTTTCGAATACGAAAGAAAGATTAAAAGTTGTTATTGTATATTACATTATGGAGTTTGGATAATACGGTATATCATTTACGTTTGGGTTGGTTCTGGCTTGTAGACCCCGTATGTAATTAGTTTAATGATGATACCAAACAGATTTCCGACTGGAAATCCACTTTAATCTCCAATGCAATTAACGGGAATAAAGGAATGAAATCCACAACATTTCCATAACTATTAGAACAAATAACCAAAATAATCGTTTATTTGTGAAGCGTTACAAGTGACGAGTTGGAGAGTATCTACAAAATGGATGATGAATCTGGGTACAAAGTGGTTATTATTGTAGGGAAAATTGCACGCTATTAACGATATTAATTGCGTTGTGGCTATGGACCAGTCGAATTAACTGCGCGTAGAAACTCTGCTAAGGAACGTAATTAGCGCAGTATGCCAACACGGATGGACGGATCGGTAACGTCATTTTCTCTTTTCACGTGTTAATAACACACGTGCAATTTTCTATTCGCCCGACAGTAAAATAAATAGATCCGTCTCTTTCGGTGACGCTTCTCGTCAAATTCAATTTATATATCACTTTTTCTTTTTCCTTCTTAGTTTGTTCCGCTTCGTTCGCGTATCCGTTAACGAGATGCCGATTTAGCCGAAGATGAAAGCGAACGATTTATATAAAAATCGTAATTAATTATCTCTGTGACCGTGTCGAAAATCGACACGGTAATCAGCAACCTGAATCGTTAAGAGTTGATTTCTGCCTACTTGTGTAATGACGCTTTTTCGAGCGCGGAGAAATTTCCTTATGAACAGCAATAACGCAAATAGTCCCTCGCCATCGAGAGGAAAGAAATTTAGATATTAGAATTGCAGTAATCAGACGTCTTGCCTTTCTTTTAGTTGAAAATTAGAATTGCTCTCCTAGAGTAATACAATGGCAGAAAAGAGCTAATCACGAAGAGTCCAAAACGTTATTATGACAATCGATTACTTAACGAAAAAGATCATTACTTTCGGTTTAAAATCTCCGTTTCTCTCATCATCGTCATTATCGTCATATTCGATGATGGTAGTGAATTCCTTTCAATTTTTAAAAGCTATCTTCCGACGGTAACGTCTTGTGATACTGCCACTTTTACTATTATTTTACTGATAATGCGCATCCCTCTATGATACTTCTTTTATAAAATCTTATATAATAGTTATTAATTATAAAGAAAATTTAATGTTTAATGGGTTATAATCTACAAGAAACTTATTTGCACTTAACAAACTTCTGTTTTTCTTGTTCTGAATTTCATTTTGTAAAGAATCGATTCGTCAGTTTTTATCGATAGGGCATTATATTTACTTACGTAACGTTCCAAAAACTTCTTTTAAATCTTATAACAGAAATATAAGATGTTATAAGAAAAACTCTGGAGAAGTTAATGCATTAATTAACGTCTATCTGAAATCCGAGTAGACGACGAAATATAAAACTATAATTTCGGAGTTTTAGTTCGGTTATTTTAACTCCGAGAATGTTTTGAATGTTCGGAAATTAACGAACCAATTACTACCAACTGCAATAACAGATACATTACGAGATTTCGGTTACGATAATGTAATTCTATCTCAAGTTGGTGGCAGTTATCGAGATTATGTTACTTATTTTTCTACATGGTTAATTATGGCCGAATCAATAATGGACGAAGAGATCTTACAGCAAATATTATAATCGCCATTTTGCGATTTTTATCTGGTAAAGTGGAGATGATGATGTATGTTCACAAGTATCTTTCCCAGTTCTTCTATATTTAAAAATTTATATATACTCTATACGTGTTATAATTATATTTATTGCTTATGCTTACATTTCAAGATTATCATTATCATCATCATCCATTCCAGAGTTAGATTTAATAGACTGCTAAGATCTCTTGGTATCTTTCTTGATGCAGTTGATCGTGTCTATCCTTGTATATGTATATATACACTTAACAATTTATATGTATTTATTCATTAATATTTTCATTGATTTATCAAAAATACATTAGGATTAATGGCTTCGAATTGTGTTTTTTTTAGTCATCAGCAACAACAATCTCCGAGCTACAAACAACCTCGCAAAGTTCAACTGAAAGAAGTTCATCATTGCAACGACAAATCGGTGTTTCAAGTCATTACAACCGATGGCGTAACTATAGCAGAATCGTTGAAAAACAGCCAAACTGTACAGAAACTGGGAAATGGAGAATATCCGACCATCCCTCCCAAACGCATTAACAAACCGGTTCCCCAACCTCCTCGTCCGGTTTCTTCACGAAGACCCCCTCCTCCCGTACCTTCCGATCACGAAGAGGACGATGCTGAATTACTCCGTATCGAAGAATCGTCTAAGCAATCGGATGGTCCACCCTCATTAGCAAACACCAAACCCGAAAGAACGACTCCCGTTGATTCTTCCCTCCCTTCGAATTGTTCCAGTCCCGATTTACCTCTTCCTCCTCCTCCGTCGACTACGGAAACTGAAGTACATCATTCGGACGAACCATTACCTCCTCCTCCGGAATTTGAAGTCAAAACGTCGTCCGCAAACACGTAAGTTGCATTTTTCTATGTAATTCATTTTTAACATTCAATTTACATAATTTATACTTCATTGTACAACGGACAAAAAAGTTTAGACACAATGCGTTGTGGTTAAAAGCATATTTTAACATAAGGAAGTAACAAAATATGGTTAGAAGAAAATCTAATACTGGAGAAAGTTTATAGATGGTGGGCATGTTTTTATTTATATCACATATTTCTAAAACAGAATAAAGAAAAAGTAAAATTTTTGTAGAAAAGAATGTAGATCAGCTTTGGAAAATTTTATATTTACATTTATGCCTGATGGTGCTTCGTCTTTCGCGTAAAAACATGGGCAAAAAACTTCCAAGTTCGTGTTTTATGAACAAAATCTGTAATGAATATTTAGTAAGGATAGACTGACGTCATTTTATCCGGTGTTGGTCCAACATCGATCAGAGAATTAATCTGGCTTTGTATTTATTTTAATCTCTTTCGATTGATCGTCGCGATTATTAATTGCTTGGAGAAAAAAGAGAGGAAAAGGGAATGTTGGATTCTTGAAGAATGACGTTAATTACAATTAGAGATAATCCTTATATTTCTTCCTTTGTTTTTACAGAAGCAAATTAATGTTTAGATTAACGAATAAAAAAAATCCTGTGACAAATATTTTTATTATTTCTTCGTTTCTTAATCTGTAAATATTACTTTATATCGCCAAATAAAAAGAGAGAATTATTTTTACAAATATCAAGTAGTTTATTTAACAAGAATTTTCAAAAATAAATAAAATAATGATGAGACTTCTCGACCTAACACTGTCAAAATTAAGGAACTAGAGCAGATAATAATCTAGAAATTTAATAAACTGTAAATTAAGGAAAGGTTTTTTTTATGTTGCACTCGCCTATCAACGAAACCATTTTTCTCTATTACACGAATTTATCCCCGAATAAAATTCCTGTGATAGAAATATGCCGGAGATACAACGAACTGCAACTTGTAAGAGGTAATTTAATAATTTAATTAATGCGCAGCGACAATGTTTATGTTTAATGCCCTCAACGGACGTCGGAAATTATTGGAATATTCAAAGTTTATCTTCAGCAGTAAAAGATAGTTTGGAGAATTACAAAATCCTAAGAGGAAGATATTTTCATTAATTTACCTCACGTCAAAACTTTATCAATTGATGCCGACTGTTGATTTTTCGTGACCTAAGGAAACTTCTCTACGGAAATGGCAAAAAGCTTAACTGAAATGAAAAATATCCGTGGTTTAAATTAAATCAATCATTATAGTTGAATGATTATTATAGTAAGGGAAGCAAAAACAAGTCTGAAGAGAGAAAAACAAATTTGAAATAACGGTTCTACTTGTGTTTCATACAAAGGTAAATAGCAAAATGTGTAATAGGCTACTACACTAGTGTTTCTCAAAATTATCGATCCACGGACCACTTAAACCGAGTCACAGATGAACCGTGGACCACCTAACCCCTCTCCACTTCTTATCCTATGTCCTATCACTTTAGATAATGATAGATTGTGTGCCAAAATATCTGTCCATCCGGTAACCTAACGTGAGATGTGTGATGAATGGAAAGGCTCTTCTTTTTTTTTCTGGCTAAATAGCATAGAATTGAATTTGGAAAAATGATTAGGTCGATCTGCCGACCGCTGACCGTACTTTGAGAATTACTCTACTATATTATACTTTATATAATTTTTGACTCTTTCCATCATGTGTGTACTGAGGGCTTTTGTATCAAGTCCATCGTGGATTCGGCCAAACCCACAATGGGACAAAGCCCGACATATCCGGGATGGACCAACCCCGATAAATTTCTGGAGTTTTCAGACCCGTCCGGATGCGATTCCGGATCCCCAGAACGGTAGACTGACAACTTAATCTCTCGGCCATCCGGCCGTAGATATTTTATGAGAAGTTGGAATCTTAGTTTTTGTTTGATTCTGTATTTATTTTGTAGGTGCAAATATTTGCACATATGAAATATTTTTTATGTTAAGATGCAAATGTCATGAATGTTTTCGTAAAATCGATTTATTCATGCATAAATTTTTAAAACATTATCAGAAAATGCCTTTAAAGTACTGTATTTTTTCCCCTCTATTTATTTGGATGAAAAAGTTAAGAATATTTTTAAATCGCAAGTTTAAGTGCTTATTAATAAAATGAATAAATAATTGAATGGATAAAAATAAGGAATTTATTTTCACAAATAGGAATAAATTAGAAAGTAACATTAAACAGAGGAGCTTAATCCAGTTTTATTTTTCTCATTTGTATCGTGAAATGTAATTGAATTTTAATTTAAATTGTGTAAAGAATTAAATAATTATTTTAATTTCTATACTTCTAAGTTTATAAATATTCAAGATATTCGTGTTTGAAATATAAAAAAAAAACAACAGTATAAATCACTTAATCTACAAGGTGTGATAAGTCTGTACAATTAGCTATCCCCGGGCTACATCAAGAAGTATAAATCATGTAAACCATTACATATTATAATCAATTAGCTACAATATCTTTGATTTGTGAATGAAAGATACGATGTTCTAAATCATGATATTCTTTCTTCAATCATAAGTAAGTCAATTCATTAATGATAAAGATATAGAAACTGTATTCTCTTTCCGATTAATGAGAATCTCGCTATTTTATTTTAACACCCGATCATGATATCCACCTCCCAACTTTTTCGGTTTTGGTTCTGTTCCCCTATCTCATTGTGTGGTTGTCAATTTAATAATAATGAAATTTTAAGATAGAACAGTATGGAGGAAAACTTGTTCCAGCCCAAAAAACGGAGATCGGGTTTCCTTTATAACGATTTCACTTTCAATTCTTACCTAATTACTTAAACTTTTCTAATTTCTAAATTCCTCTGCGTAGATCTATTGTCGAGATAGGAGAAAAATGTACCTTAAAGATAGACTTTTCCATAGGAGGGAAGTTATTTGTTTGATATGACATTGTTGTACGCTAGCGGGTGATTTGAAATTAGAACTATTTGTAACGTTCGCAGCGGAAAGTGGTCTGGCCATGGCAGGACCTGTTCCTGCGCCTTGAGATAAAGTTTTATTATTATAAATTATATTAACATCTGTGTGTACTGTAAAAACGTTTTTAAATAGTGCATACAGATGTGCAGTACATATTATTTTTAATCTCTTTTCGTTCTGCGAGCATTAAGATAGCCTTTCTTCCATATCCATGGGTTCTACCAGGCCCACAATGAGGGATAGGAACAGACCGTCGGTGAAAAATTTCTTGGAAACTGCATGCCCGAATTCGATCCCGAATCCCCTAGAACGGTACGTTGACACGTTAATAATCTCGCCATCCGGCCGTCACTTTAAAAAAGGTTTGTATAAATCAATGTCTAGACAACGTCGTATCCTTCACACGTATTCGTGTCTGATTCGATGATTTTTCATTCACGTTTGTATTTCGAACTCCACTATTATACTCGTACTAATTGACCTAACTTGTAAGTGCGGGTCACGTCGTCCATAATTGTCTACAAAAGCGGAATTGACCGAACAACCCAAAGTGCGCCAATGCCTCCCATTAACAAATCAATCACTGCAGATGCATAATATATAATGCAGTTTATAGTTATTACGTAATTTGCATTTATAGTAAATAATTTTTCAATTCCTCTTTTTATGTTTCCTTCCTCAGATTAGCATCATTCTGGACACATTTTCTGCATTAATCCTCAATTTAAAGTTGCGGGTTCGTTTCCCGCTCAGGGCCGATTCTTTTCTTCCAGAAATTCTAAATTAGAAATTAATTTATAATAAATACAGTATTTAAATGATCACGAGATGCGACTTAACTGCCTATTTTTATTAAAATTCTTTATATTTAATTATTAAATTATCCTTACTATAACTCGATAATACGGGCAGATCGTTTGGCAATCCTCATTTTATTTATTCGAAAATTAAAAACATATCAAGCACAATTCAGTACTAAATAAAAAATAATAATAATAATTTAAAATATGCAAACGTAAGCAAAACTCTGTAGAATAATCACGGTTAAGTTTTATATTAACTTGATGTATCATCACAATTCATGGAGAAATTTTTATTGGTTTGTGAAAATTACAACCCATAGTAATTGTTTGATAAAATCATAAGAAAATTTTGATAAAAATTGGCATTAGCAATAAAAATCTCTGTTTATCCTAAAATGTTCGGCAAAGAAATCGATTTGTTGTTAGTCCCATTTTATGTTTTTCTCCTGAAATCACTTTAGCTCCGAGAATCCCGAAAATTAATCAAACGGAAACAACAAACACAGATTATTCATTATATATTTAAAATTTTATATGCTGAGTTATTGATTTAAAAATTCGATTTTGGCTATTTAGTTTATGCTTATTTAAAAAACTATGCAATTATTTTTATATTACATATATTTACTGTTCAAATTTGTGATTTATGAAATTAAAATTTCTCTCCCAGATAAACTCCTATATTATCGGCGTCATACTTGAAAACACTGCACGTAACACTATTTTCGAGTAGCTCGTCATTTCTTTTTTCCATGAGAACAAGCACTTAACATTCTTAAATCGAAAATAGTTTTAAAAAAAAGAAATCACAGCTTTTCTCATATTTCACTCGTCTGACGGCTATTTTTTTCAATTTATTTAGCTTTATACTAAATTTAAATTAGAAACAAAGTGCTTCAGATCAGTGACTTTCGCCTCACGTGATCCACTATATAAGATCTATTACAAAACTATTAAATTCGCGGGCCACGGTCCGAGAATCATTACTCTAATATATATCGTTACTGTCATGACATTTATCTCCTGCAAGATGCGAAGCAAAAGCTAACACTTCTAATATCATTTGCATCGGAGCTCGTTCTATTGAAAAACTTTTCTCTCAAATCATAATAAATTTTACTAACAATAAAAATCATCTTTATCTATTGAATTAAAGTTTGCACTCTCCTATAAAATTTAAATTTTTGTACATAGAAACTGTTATCTGCTAGTGAAAGTGTATATTCATATTTGTAAATAGACAACAGATTTTGATTTAATGAAGTTTTTATGCAAGAAGACAATCTTGCGTTTTCGAGAATTTCCAAACTTTTCATGGAATAAAACCCAAGCGAAACTCCTTTATATATATAATATAATATTATATAACTATAACTGTTATTCCTTTAAATAAACACTGAGAAAATTAAAAAGTTTCAGTTAACCAACAGGTTGGTAGACGGTATTGTTTTTGTAATATGACTATTTTCTTAGGTTATCAGATGATAATCTCATGTAAGACAATTAACTTAGTTACTGGTTAACGTATAAAATTGTTACTATCAAAACTTTTTTTAACAATTTAGCCAGATGTTCATACTAAATACAAGGAATACAAGTACAATGATAATGTTATAGTCGACAATACACGCAATTAGAGAGATATTAATATGGCATCAGTAATATGGACTAACTTTAAGTAATGAAGCATCGCTGATTCTGTTAGATCAATGTTACGATAGTGATGAATATTTGTCAGAGAATCAGAAATAACTTCGAAATATCACTCAGTTATGGAGATACAATTGATAACTGCAATTTTTTACTAAGTGCATAAAAATCATTATTTGCGGTTAGTAAATATTGCTTTCAGCGGTTACGACTTTACGATATATAGGCCTATATTGGACGATTAGCGTTTCTCCTCTGCAATTGCTTATTAGCTGCTAGTGATTGAGCACTTGAATTAAAAGTGTCTAAAAATTGCTATTACTAGTAGTACAGAGTTCAGTTGTAATATTGTAGAGTACAGTACATAGTACTTTACATGTATTGATTTTCTTTTTTCAGCATATAATATATAGATTCTATGTACAAATAAAAATATATAGTACATTTATTGTCCAATCCAGACTTTTCAATATGTCTCGAACGAACTAGATTCCTCCAGACCTTTATAAATCGCAATCATACATATTATAGATAGTTTTATTCTATAAAATTATCAATCAATTAATTAACATGTTTGAAAATTTATTTTATAGAAGCCAAGCCGTGAATGCGCAAGTATCCAGTCAACGGAATTCTAATTTTCCTGAAGGAACGAAACATAAAAACGAAGAAGAAAGTAGAATTCATCCCACCGCTGCGGAAGAGAGAGAATCTGAATCGGTGACGATCGAGACACAAATAAATTCGTCCGCCGGTTCCGGCCTCGATCGTTCGCGATTATCAGGATTCGACAATACAGAATCTGATTCGAATCTCCAAAGTTCGTCTTCCGTAACGAATGCGGGAGAAGACTCCTTCGCCACCGAGAAAATGGAGGATACGTCGGAAAATTCGAAGACGGAGGAGACGACAGATCGAGTTCGAGTCGAAGTATGTCTGACAAACAGCGCCACTCAAACGTCGGAGACGCCTCGACTAGCCAGGAAAATCACAAAGAGCCGCGAAGAACTGGAATGTGAACGACTCTCCAGGGATTTCGTCGAATGTTGTGGCGACTCTCTTCTTAAAAGTTTATTAGGTAAGACCCACTAGTCCAGGCTCGATTGGTAACATGCGCCTCAGGCGAAACCGATTTTTACCGCTCCTGCTTTCAGAACGGTTGCCAATAGAGAGCACTTTTAGCTCAACTCTCGTGTGAACTATTTATGAACGGCTTTAAAAATACATTTACGGGGATTTCGTTGTATTCGGCTTATTGTCATTATTAATTAATTCATTTTTCTCCTTGAATATTTTTGACCCGCTCGTTTTGCTGCTCTAGGGGCTCCCGGATCGAATTCGGTTTTGGTTGTATTGGTATATAGCAACGCGACACGTGGGCGATCTACCAAGGGAAATGCCTTTCGGGAGTCTTTTATGGGAAACTGGCTTTATTTAGGTGTTGCTAACGTGAAGAAAACCTGGAAAACTCCACGGGAACCCACGACCAACTGCCAGTGTTCTAAGGTTTTATCCACTCGACCACTGGTGGGCACGGATCGAATTCTAGCAAGTAAATCTAGTTTTTCCCGTCTCACTGCTCGGCCAAACTTGCAATGGACATGAAATAAAGGCCCTTTTAGTGGCCGCCCGCGGGGTGGAGTCAAAACAATAAAACAAGTGCTAAATTGTCATCCCGATTAATGGAAGGTAATGAATAATCGTCTTCGATTAACCGGACTGCAGTTTCTATTTGTAAATCCTCGACAGGGCAAGAGGAAAAATTATCGAAACAATAATGGGACGCGAGTGAAATTAATAATCGATATCGTCGCACGCGTTATCCGCATCGATCCGGCAGGATAGAAGGCGATACCATACGTATTTCAGACGAGATTCCACTCGGTTGAAGGCGAGTGACCACGAAGAGCAACGCTTTTAACCTTTCTCTGTCTGTCTTACGTTTGGAATTCACTTATTTTCGGTTCGTTGGATCTTCTATTATATCTTCGGGGAGAGAGAGCGCGCTGAATTTATTTAATACTCGATTAACCGTCGGTCATTTTATAAATAATTGACGATTAATGACGACTCGGCGGATCTTTCAAATTTTCGTTCATCCGTTTGTTTTTAGACAGTACCCTCTCATTTCCATCATTTATTTCTTGTGGATAAATTCACTTATTAAACTAAAATTATATGGAATTTTATCGGAAAATAATCAATTATCCGAGACATCTGATTAAAAATATAGTAAATGATTTTTAAAATCGAATTCCTAAAATAATAATAATAACCTTATAGTTTATTATTAAGGACAGTAATAATGAATAACACCAGTTGATGTTAATCTCGCTTTTATTTTTTTATTATTTGATATATTAGTGCCAGCTTCGGATCAAAAGACCATGCTAGACTATATGGCGGGACTACTAGATTTGGAAACAGAAAACAACGGAGAGACGGCACTCAGAAATCATCCTCGTAGACAATTACAGCTAGGCAGAGCGAGTGATAAATGCCAGCCAAAACCAGCGATCAATGGATGGTGGTAGGAGCCCTTTACATTGACTTTTACTTCCATCATTCTTACCCTTCCACATAATTTATTATAGTTATCTCAACTGTATATTAGTCCTACTCCAAGAGATATCTAGAAACTCTGTCTACATTAATTTTTAACTATCCGTTCTTATTTTTCTCTCCAACGTTATATAAACGATTCATTTTTTCTTTTAATATTTAAAATGAATTTCTAATTGTCCATACTCTTGGGATTGTATAAAATTATATTTACAGCTAATAGAAAATTCTCCCAGTGGTATTAAAAATTTTTTACTTGTCTAACAGGGAATCATCCGGAATGCCCCTCGATAGCCCATATTTTTCCGTAATAGAGCCGAAAGCAAAGTTATTAACACGTTACTGCCGAGAAGTTACTAAGTACGAATGGATAAATGAAGCGGAATTAAATAAAAAGAAGGTATGGAAAATTAATAAAATCTAAGCTACCTTTTTGCCTTGTTGCTGAAGATAAAAATTTAAAGGTTTGAAAAACCAAATAGATAGATAAATAAAAAAACATTTCAAGATTTTACTGATGTAATATAATTTCCGAGTCGATAAAATTTCTCGAGATATCGTGCATTGTTTGGAAGTTCTTAATTTTACAGTTAGCAATTACCGGAAACAAAGTTTTCTAAGAATATTTCACCGCATCTCGTAACGGACTTTAATTGTGTCATTAATGTGTCGTGTAAGACGAAAATTATGGCCAATAACACAAGTTACACTCGGATTCCGTCGGGAAATAACTTAATAAAATTCATGCCAATCATCATTATTCACTTAAAAATTACTCCATATTAATATTCGGAATTTTTATACTTTAACAATTGCTACCGATTACGCTTAATTTGCATTGTAAATCTTTGTAATGCGCGATAATAGACGAATAACTCGAGAAACGTTGCTAAATTACGATATATTTACTCGATGCATAAAATATCTAATAAATTTAAGTCGGAATTAAGCCGGGAATTTATATATGTATATATATCGCAGGACGAATTAATAGCTAGCATAGGAAGGAAACTGGAAATGTTAAGAATGGAGCAGCTAGCTATCAAGGACGAAGTAGCTCAAAACGAGGAGTTAGGCCGAGAAGTGACGTCGAAGGTGGAACAACTAGCTAAACCCAACGAAGTAGAAAAATTTCGACTACACGTCGAGGAACTGGAGAAAATCATCAATCTGTTACTCTCTCTGTCCGGTAGATTAGCAAGGGTTCAGAATGCGTTGATGAATTTACCTAAAGAAGCCAGCAAAGAAGAAAGAGTAAGTATCGTTTTTATAGCTTTTACCGTCTTTCGATCGAAATATTAATTAGTCGATTTTTGTCAAGATGCTTCTGGAAGCCAAGAGAAACAAGCTAAGCGAACAGCACGAAGAAGCCAGGCACCTTAAAGAGAGCATAGATCGAAGAAGCCAACAGGTTTCCACTTTCTTACATAAATATCTGCGGGACGACGAATACTCCTATTACGACCACTTCGTGAAGAGAAAGTCGAGATTGCTTATCGACGTTCGAGAAATCGACGAAAAGATCAAACTAGGGGAGGAACAGCTAGCGGCGCTCAGAAACAATGCCGATTCGCATCTGTGGACGCAGTTACAATCAAACTTGGATCTTTCTACTAGCCAGGTCCAGTTGTGTAGGACTTGAAATGTATAGTAATAACCGTTGTATGTTGTCGATTAAGACGAGAGGGGAAAAAACATATATATATAAAATCGATTCTCCTGCTATTTGGCGAATATCCCGCTGGTTTCGGGCGAGCCAAATGGTAGTGACGATAAATACATATCTGGCAATACTGAAGAAATGGAAAAGGCCTTAAAAAATTTTAGACCAAAACTTAGTCTGTTGTCGTAAATTCGAGAAAATTATATTTGTTTAGAAGAGTCGATCCCGTCATCGTCGTTCTCGTTTCTACTCTGTGACGCGATATAAACTGTCGACCCGCCTTAGTAAGTGATCTATTCCCAAAAACTATTCGAAGCAGTTGGAAGAATTACGAGTGTAAATCTATTGTTTTTATTAATCCGGAATTTTAAAAGTAATTTTTTTCGACCGATGGTTTTATTTAACTCCCTGTAAATATGAACAAGAAGCCAAACGTGCCGATCGACGATATTCTAAAGCTGTTTGCAAGCGAGCTACTTTGTTGAAGAAGACCGAAATTCGTGTACAGATAAAAACAGTCGTCGTATGTAAAACGCTGAACGAAAGTTGTACATTGTAACCGATAACAATCATTTTTACTTAAAAAAACAAAATGGGATTTAAAAATCGTACGCTTGTAAATAAATGCGGCCATCGGTAATTTGGAATACAGCTGCAGAATGATAAAAATAAAACGTTAAACAGTGATTTATTTACCAGTTTGATCCAATATTTTCGTACGAAAATACTTTTATAGTCGCGTCGCTCCGTTTTCGAAAAAAGTTTATTTATTAGACGGTTTCGGAGGAGATTTGGCGAATTCTTCGAAGTTAATTTCGATCTTCATTTTGGCGGGAATGTGTTGCCTGGAAAAAAAAATATTCGAAATTGAAAAGATATAAAAGGTCCAGCTTTTATATACATTAGGTCTATACATACATAATGTTTATGGTCAAAACAATATACGATCATCAAATATAAAAGATTTTAAAAACTATTTTCTCACATCAAATCATTATTGACTTGCCTTTTTTATCAAAGAAAACAAGGAGGATAGGAATTTCTAGCTATCGGATAAGAATAAGTAAGAATTTTCAAGGTAGATTTCATTAACACTGTTTTCCAACTGATGCTTAATTTTTCCCAAAACAGTAATTTCATGTAAACGATTTCTTTTCGTCTTTTACGAAAACTCGATACTTCTGTCGATAAAGGGTCTGTTATTATCAACAGGAGACCAAAATTTTAATTAAATGTCAACGTATTTTTCCGAAAAGTCAATAATTATTTTTAAGTACTTAGCGGCAAAGAATTTTTAGCTATGAATCTTTATAGTGTCTCATTAATTAAGGTATACTTCATTTCACATTTATTCAAATTATTTTGAAACTTGCAACTGTAAAAATTATAAAGGATTCGAAATCGAATCCGTTCCATGATCTATCCAGTTTAATTCCTTACCTTTGAAGTCTCCAACTTTCGTCAAACTCGTGGAGTTTGCGAGTTTGACGATTGCTGGAGGCGACTGATAAAGAATTTAGCCAGTGTTAGTCTAAATTGATCGAATTATTCTTATCTTTTATCGAACTACATGCCAGAAAAATTCTAAATACATAATAAAGATATCTGTTGATAATTATCTGATGTTTAACAGTAACGCAAACTTAATTTGTTTAAGATTTTATCCAACGTTTTCCAAATCATTCTGTTTTTCTTTTATACAAAGATATGAGGTCTCGAGCAAGCAAATTAACCAGAAAAAGAACAGGCAATAACAATAATAAAAAAAGTAACGAATATTTATTTTTCTAAGCCCAAAACAGAAGAATTTGTTAACTTACTAAACTATTCAACTAATTTGTTAGATGAATGGAATGCAATTTGAAGAATATACAATATTTTAAATTATTTACTTCCTGATTTATTCTGTGAACAGTTCGGCATTGATATTCTTTAAAAATAAATAAAACTATTTTATCGAGAATTAGTACATATTACGAAAACGAATTTCAATGCTTAACATAATTTTTTAAATACAGTACATTCATTTCTAAATCCGATGTAAAATGAGGATGTAAAGACGAATTATAAGACAGATTTCAATTGAATACTTGCCTGAAACGCATTCCAAGGTGAGAGACACTTTCATATACAGTATATAAACGTGGTTAAATAACAAAATAGGCATGTAACTAGAGAAAGGCCTGGCTATGGATCGTCAGATTCAACTAAATCATTTGCCATCTTTGGGTCAATTGAAGGCTCTACAGATTAAAATGGATAGAATTGTTTGTATTGCTTGTCATCTCTTTTCTTACAGAATATGGCAGTAAGACTACTGTAATGTTTATTAGAACACTGGGATTATTATTTTAATAGAACAGTTCTGCTTTTAGTCAGTATCAACGTTCATTATGCAGTGGTCAGTGAATATCTACAGACCGTAAAAAAATCTCCCCTCCTCGTTATTTCGGAGTCAATTATGCAACTAAATTTTCCAGTTCCTTAATTGAAAGACCGAAAATGACTTTGAACAACTCAGTCGCGTCATACGCAAAACGTAAAGAAACTGCTGCGACTTTAAAGGGCACAATATTAATTACAACAGTTTACATACATTATTTTAACATCTGATTTGAAAACGTTAAAAGTTTATTATATACAGTACTTCATACTCTCTACAATGCGCTATTCTGTTTGGTATGATATTTTTTTTATAATGTACTAAACGCAGCCATGATGCCAATAAATGTCCAATAGCGTGGTGCAGGGAGGATAATGGAAGTGCAGCACAGAATTTTCCAAAATTTTCGAAGAAAACGGAAAAAGATAATCAAAGTTTAATTACGAAAATTAAAAACCAGCAAAAGTAACATAAATAACATGAGTTTTGATAGCAAAATTATAACATATTTTCCCAACCAGTGGACTGCGAACCTAATTCTCGAAACATTACTCGTGGATATCTATTAAGAGATACAATAGATTCGCTAATCCGACTCCAATTGTCCGGCATACCCCTTAATGTGGTCGCCTATACGCTTCAGTTTTCATCATTAATGGCGTAACTAAGATTGAGAAGATAATGTAAAAAGTACAGAGCTAAATCAGAATGACGAAAAATTAAGCGTACCATAAAGTACCATTTATTTATAGAAAACTTTCTAAAAATTTTAAAAGTAAATAAACATCTCGAAGATCCAACATCCACATCACCCCCGTAAGTACGCAACAGGTTTGCATGAAAATGTTAATCTCATGTCACACATTGAGTTTTCCTGTTAACTTGGGTTTCATTTCTGTGCAGAAGTATTGCATTTCAGCGCGATATTACTTGCTCGCCTACTTCAAAAAAGAATCAGTACCGAAATAGTATTGAAAGTTACTAGGACGTTGGCCTACCACTCTGGGGACCCGCAATCGAATCCGGACAGGTTGAAAAATCCAGCAATTTTTCGGGGTGGTCTTTCCAGGATGTGTCTAGCCCGGTCGCCCACCACCTCATGGGTCTGGAAAAAAGGCCGCCTTGCGCGTTAGTGCCCACAGAATACAGTAAAAAAACTTCCGGTTTTCAATGCACATGTCAAATGTCTTAACCAATCTTTCGGCGTTGTCACAGCGAACAAAAACGCCGACTATAAAATAATTTTGAGTTGGAGTGAACATTGTTGGTGCCTCAATTTATGCATTCTCAATCACGACAATGTTAAAGTCGAAAAACGCTCCCCTGATCATGATGTGTTTTTCTACTTTTGCTCATGTGATTTGCATTAAACGACGTAATATAACTGTTATTGAAGTCGCCACACATTTCGAATTACATGTTAACCGAACTCTAACATTGAAATGCCAATCCTCGTCCACCTACGTCTCGCCAAACCTACGTGGACTTCACATCAACCAATAACATACTAAGTTTGACGTATTTTATAAATTGAATATTTACAGTAATAATATTTTTGATATACTATATGCAAAGCATAATTTCCATGATCGAACCTGATCACCGAAAATCGTGTTTTGCATATCAAATACAGACTGACAATGAATTTCATTCATACTAAACTTAATATTCTGGTAAAGATAAATTCATATTAAATCAGATCAAACCACAATACTAATAATTTCCAATGGACAAAAAAAAAATATAAAAGGATCTCCATTAACAATAATCATTAAATATAGGAGAATGGGATTTCATTTATAGTATTAGAACACAGATGTCACAGATAAAAGCTGAAATAAAAACATTCTTACAAAAAAAAACTAACATTATAATAATGTTTAAGCTAACTCAAATGGTAATAAAAATATTTGTGCAAAAATTTCTCTTAACTAATTGATAATACCAAAATTAAGTTTATTTATCTATAATACAGTACTTGAAATTTAAATTAAATTTGCCAACTTTTTATTTTAAATAATTTTACATATGTAAGAATAAAGAAGAATTATATTTCTCAATTATACATGAATATTGGGTCTTACTATTTGGTCAAAATATGAATGTTGTAAACAAATTAACTTGATCATTAAGATAGTTTAAATAAATAAATAAAAAAATTGAATTATAATTTTTAACGTAAAATAAATTCGTATTAAACTTAAAATATAGTAAATTTATCATTACAATCTAATGTTGGTTGTTTATTAAACGCAAATATAACGTTTAAAATCCATACTTTTGGATCAGTGTTCAGGAATGCATTTAGAATTTAAAGTTAATCTTACAGAAAATCTCGTTTCTTGATATATATTTTACTGGAGAGCTTCGAGAACTCTTTGCCGATGGCAAGAAATTAGCATATTTTAAACAGTTTTCGAAAAATCTTCTCGAAAACTAACCATAAATACCAATAAAAAAAGAAAAAATGAAAATGGAAAGAAATTTCTGAAATATATATATCTATATGTATATAGTTTATTATTCCACATCNAATTAATTACTTTATAATTAAAACTTGCAGCCAATTTCTGCTTACAAAATGCTTTTCGGTAATAAGTATTCAAATTCGTTCACTATAAATGCTAAAGTAGTTTAAAACGAATTATACAAATTGGAGATAACAGAATTTTCTATAATTTATGGCAACTATAGACTATGTATAAAATCCACAAACAATAATTAATTTAAAAACATGGCTACTTTAACGTTAGGAATTAAAATAATATATTACTTCTCTTAAATGCATTTGAAAGATATCGATGACTAAGAAGTGATACCGCGTATCTTCAAACTTGCAAGTTTACAGAAGCAAAAATCTGTTTTAAAAATTAAATTTTCTCAAAATAAACAAACTTTTTATTTATTTTTCTGTCTTTCAAGATCCCATCGATGAAAAATATTGGTGGCTGTCTAATTTTTTTAAACATAATATTATAGTAGTTAAAAGTTCTTACTGCAATACGAATTTTTCAGATATGAGGTATCATTTATTAGTCACTGATATAGTTAATAACTTGATTAGCAATTAATTATTCGCAATTCAGTTCACAGAATCAAAGCAATAAATTAGACGTTAAACATAAATTTGGAATATTAATAACTATTGAAAGACAAACTAAACTTTATCTTATCGATATTTTTCTATGTTGTATTTCAATAATTCATAATATTAAAATTCATTCTTATTTTCTATAAATATTATAAGCCTACACTGCTACACGGGCTACTTTCGATACTACATTTAAAATCATATAGTATTTCTTTTATTAAAAATAGACTGATTTTAATTAAAATGTTCACTAAAAAAATAAAAGTATTTAATTCAAACAATTAAATTTCTAAATAAATAAATAAAAAGCAGCAAACTTCTGAAAAGTATTTAGACCTAGAAGAATTTATTAAAAGAATTGTTTATATATA